GAACACAATTTGTTTTTCTTATGCATATGCTTCCATTGCTCTTTCTCCATCTGTGACAATGAGTATTTAATTGAAAGGAATGTTATAAGCACATACCTATAATCCCAGCTATGCAGAAGGTATAGGTAGGAGGACTGAGTTCTGAGGGCAGTCCTTGACAAAAAGTGAGAGACCCTACCTGAAAAATAACTAAAACAAATAGAAGGGCTGGGGATGAGTACATGGATCAAATTGGAAGAGCACCTCACCAGCAAATATGAGACCCTAACTTAAAACCTCAGTACAAAAAAACAAAGACATGCCAGGCACTCTGATGGCTAATGCCTGTAGTAACAAGCTACATCAGTAACCAGAGATGGAATTCATTATGCTTTTCAATTGTGAGGTTAAAATCCTTCGAACATATGATTTTTATTCTCGGGTTTTGTTTTTTTTTTTTGCCAGTCGTGGGGCCTGAATTCTGGGCCTGGGTGCTGTCCCTCAGCTCTTCAGCTCAAGGCTAGCACTCTACCACTTGAGCCACAGTGCCACTTCTGGCTTTTTTTGCTTATGTAGTGCTGAGGAATTGAACCCAGGGCCTCATGCATGCAAGGCAAGCACTCTACCACTGAGCTACCTTCCCAGCCCCTATTCTCGGTTTTAAGGAAACTTCAACAAGTATGTCTCCAGTGACGTAGGGAGGTATTAGTTGGAAAATTGTGGGTTGCTGATTTTTCTTACATGTTACTGTGTCATCTATTTTATATATGTAGCATATTTTATTACAAACCTTTTTCTAATCTTTCATTATGATTTTGTTGTTGCAGGCAAGAAGACAGCAAGACCCTAGTCCTGGTTCCAATTTAGGTGGTGGTGATGATCTCAAACTTCGTTAACAGCACAGCAAATGTGCTTCCCACCTATATGTACTCATTGTTTCTAGTTGGCAGAAAAGAATTCATTATAAGACCAGAAACTGTGATAGCTGGAGGTACCACAGTCAATTTCTCAACCCAAGGCAGTAAAAGACACCACAAACTGCCATGGTTTTGCACTATGATTATCATACATGCATTTCTAATGTTTAAAGCATGTAGCCAGTAATAATTTGAAATTTTTTTCTATGCAAGCTTACCTTGTTGGCATTATTTTAGATGAGTGAAACTATCCATTTGTAAAGCTTTTTTTTCCCTCCATTTTAATTTAAAAGTTCATGTTTTTTTTTAAGAAGTTAAAATTTCTATCAAAGGGTTTTCTTTAGATGCATTTTTATACTGTTAGATGTGTTATACAGCTTATTTTTAGAAGGGCATTCTTGGTTTGTTTGTTTGTTTTTTCCCCTTCATTTCCTTTTGTGTTTTTATAGTCTAGAGCATTTTTAAATTGTTGATATGTTCGCATTATTTACAACCTAAAAAACCTAGTAGCATAGAGCTGTCTGCTACAGCCTTCTAACAAAGTTTACAGTTGTTAAGGTTTCAGTATCCTTTTAAATGCTAATCAGCACCCTTCCTTTAAAACATTAAAATTTTAAATTGGATATTAATTTTAGCCTGCCCTAGATTTGTTTTAAATTCTGTTCTGTAATCATGACTTTGGGTGGAGATACTCTCCTTGATAATACTACTCTACTGAAATGCCTAAAAGAAGTCGCAGGCTGGCTTCTGTTTTATTCAGGGATTTTTTTTTAAACCAATCAGTAAAGGGATACTGGAGCTTCTTCATGTATTTTACAGCATATTAAACTGGAGACAGTGATGACAGCTACAAAGGTATATTAAAATCATGTTTAATATAGCTGCTTTTATGTGTATTTTATATTTGCATGCCTTTGTAGAAACAATACTGGGTGAAGAAAGATTAGTCTTAGAAAATGTTCATCTATTCAGAGGATACATTTTCTTCCATTAATTGTCCTGGGAAAACATTGAGTTATAGATGATATTTTGCAAAAGGACTTATTAGCACCTTTTGAGATTAATTAGTGTAAGATTATTTTTAAATAAGCTTACTGTCAAATTACAACTTTTTTTAAAATATAAGACTGGAAAAAGTGCTGAGTCATTTGGCACATCCTTACAAATACCTTTCATGGTAAATAATTCATTAAATGTTACTACTACATTTACGGATTTTTTGCAAAAATGTTTGCAAAAGTGTATTTTATCATAATAGAATGGCATTATTTTAAAGAGTTTGAAAAACTGACAGTTCAGAAAGTGAAGTCTGAATAAGGTCATTACATTTAAAAAGCATATAAATATACTTGATTGATGAAGGAGGTGTGACTTTTATTGTATATAGGTCTTACAAGTCTTAAACAGATAACTGTATCTCAGAATAAAAATATGTTATATATTTGAAGTCATGCATGGTAAGAAGTGTGTCTAAATTGTTGTAAACAGTGCATCATAAAAGGCCATGTTGATCTTGTGTAACACAGTCCTATAAATGAATTTGGTTGGTATTTGGTGTTGTACAGCTCACATGTTTACACACTCAGTGCCCTAATTTCCCATGGGGAATCACCTTCTAAGTGGTCCTTACAATGGTGTTGTAAGGTTACTTTTATTACAGGGCTCCTTGTTTTTTGACTTCTGCACATACTTTTTAAAAAAATATAACATGTTATTGCTACATTCTTCTCTGTTGCTTCTATTCGAGGGCTTCAGCCCATCAGTAAATAAAATCAGTTGCTATTGTGTTCCTGTTGCCATCTTTCTGTAAATATTGAAATCTTCGTATCATTTAGCACTGTACTACTGTCTTAATGCTGGCATTAAGATCATAAGCCTTTTTCTCTAGTAGTGAAGCCTTTGGAAACTACATTTTTTTAAGTTATTGATGCAATTTGATATTTTTTCATAGTGTGTATTTAAATGAAATTACATCATTGCATCATCTTTTCTAAATTCATCTCCATTTTAAAACTTGCCTTAAGCTACAAGATTACTTTTGCCACCATTAGCCATAGTGTGTGTTGTGTGTTTAATTTACCTTCACAATAAACTGTGTAATGAAAACAGGGTCTTGGTTCTTTATTGACAAAACCTGACAATTGCTGTCCTAGTTCTAGTTAGAACATGAAAAGTGACTTTATTGCTTCTGAACTTTTCTTTGATCCTAGCTTTTACTTTATAAAAGAAGAAAGCAACAACAGTGACATCTAATGGTCATTTCTGCCAATTCCAAAGAAAACTATAAATGTAGATATCACAGTTTTTTTTTTAAAAAAAAATCTGATTGCAGGCTGGGAAGGTGGCTCAGTGGTAGAGCGCTTGCCTTGCATGCCTGAGGCCCTGTGTTTGATTCCTCAGCACCACATAAGAAAAAAGCCGGAAGTGGCACTGTGGCTCAAGTGGTAGAGCGCTAGCTTTGAGCTGAAGAGCTGAGGGACAGCGCCCAGGCCCAGAGTTCAGGCCCCACGACTGGACCCAAAAAGAAAAAATCTGATTGCAGGTGGTTATAGTAGTACATACACATCTGTACTACCAGTACTTAGGATAATGAAGCAAGAATTTGAGAGAAGCCTTGGACTACATGCTGAGACCTAGTCTCAATAATATAATAATTGTCATTCTTTAACCCCTAAGATCATTTAGAAGAAATAATAAAATACATTCAGTATCCCAAATATGCATGATCTTTGCCCTCAGAAAACCTGTTCCATCCCCAAAACAGACCCAAACAGTAACAACCTTTTAGGTATACTGTTCATGTTGACTATATCTACCTTGGTCTGGTTGTAGGAATAATTGCTGAATTGTTGAATAGGAGCTGAGATTGGAAGGATGGCAGATCAAATAAGAAAAGATGACCAAAGAATTTCAGGTAGCTAGCCAGGCAGGAGTTCAGCCAGTTTGAGAAATAGCAGCGTATGACAGTACTATGGAATTGGAAGGGGACTGCAGCAGTGAGATGAGCCCTAAAAGGTCAGCAAAGTCCAGAATGGGAGGCACAAACAGTGCTGGACTGGACTGGCCTTGCCAGCCATGTGACATCTGAACCATTGCTAAAGATGGAACAGGAAATCATTGAGGGATTGAAAGTTGGATGGGAAGGGTGCTTGAAAACCTTTCAGGGCTTGGGTAGGGAAGGGATGGTAGGGGATAAACAAAGGACAAACAACGCTCAATAGGAAATTACTCATTACCTTCCTCATCTAACTAACCCCTCTGTACATTATTTTTACAAAAAAAAAAATTAAAAAAAGGCTTGGGTTGTTTGTCAGTGGTAGTGCATTAAGTAGCTCATGTTGAGGCCGAGTTTGATCCCTGTAATATACACACACATTGTAAACGACATTTTAAGGTAGGTGTGATGGTACATGCTTCTAATCCTAGCACTAGGAAAAAGGAAGTAGAAGGATCACAAGTATGAGACCCGTTCTTCAATACATAGTGAAATCCTGTCTCAAAAAACAAGGTCTGGCCGGGCACCGGTGGCTCACGCCTGAAATCCTAGCTACTCAGGAGGCTGAGATCTGAGGATTGTGGTTCAAAGCCTACCCAGGCAGGAAGTCCATGAGACTCTTATCTCCCATAAACCACCAGAAAACCAGAAGTGGCTGTGGCTCATGAGGGAGAGTGCTCGCCTTGAGCTGAAGAGCTGAGGGATAGAGTTCAAGCCCCATGACCAACCCCACCACCACCAAAAAAAAAACAAAAACAAGGTCTAAGGGCTGGGAAGGTGGTTCAGTGGTAAAGTGCTTGCCTACCATACATGAGCCCCTGGGTTCAGTTCCTCAGGACCACATAAACAAAAAGCTGGAAGTGGCACTGTGGCTCAACTGGTAGGTGCTAACCTTGAGCTGAAGAGCTACCAAATTCAAGCCTCATGACTGACAAAAACGGTTTGGGCCAGACATCGTGGTGCACATCTGTATCTCAGCTACATAGGAAGCAGAGATTGGGAGGCATGAGGCCCACCAAAACAAGAAAGTTAGCAAGAAACCTCACCTGCACCTCTCAACTAGTCCCAGCTGCTCTGAAGACAGATCATGGTTCAGGCTGGCCACATGCAAAACAAGGATCTGAAGGTGTGGGTCTGGTGGTAGAATGTATACCTAGTAAGCAATGGAGGGTGGTAGAATGTATACCTAGTAAGCAATGGAGAGTGTTTTTGGCTTTCAAGACTACTACTACATGTCCTGTGTTCCAAGTTACCTAGCATTAGCATTCTTTTGGCCTCCAATGACAGCTCCCATAGCCACTTTCCTGAGTGTTAATATCATCCAGGCAGCTACTGGAGCTGGAACACATGCAGATGTGTACCAGCACCAGGGCTTGAACTCAGAGCCTCATGATTTTGCCCAGCTTTCTTGCTCACAGCTGGTGAGCACTTGACCCATACCATATAGCTTGGCTTTTTGCTTGTTAATTTCAGTTGGAATCTTGAAGACTTTTTCTGGTGAGGCTTTGCACTTCAATCCATTAGGTCTTAGACTCTTAAATAGCTAAGCTTATTGGTGTAAGCCACCTGGGCTGGCAAAACTAGTTTTTACTCCTATTTTCCCTCCCTTATGGTTCAATTGGTAGATCCTGGCAATAGATTCTATCATCTCTTCAATTTTAAAATGTTTTAAACATACCATTTGCCTGTAAGTCAAACATACACTCATTTGAAGTGCACACTTAACATTTCATGCACAGATATTACCATTTTACATCTGAGAATACAGCCATGAAGAAAAGTCAAGGAAATTGCCCATGACAAAGCTATTAAGTATCAAAACTAGGATTCAAAAGTTTGGGTTTAACTACTGACCTGAGTGGTATGCTACCATGACTTGGGGACATTCCTCATTAGGACATTCCTCCTTCATTTCTGATCATCTCTCTCACTTTGAGGTGTGGCCATTGAAGACATTGTCTTGAGTTGGCCACCTCCTTTAAGGTACTTCCTGCTACTCTGTTGGGTTGGGGTCTGAACTATGGCCTCCCTACCTTACTTTAACAACATCCCAAAGCTCTCACTCTCATTGTTAACAAAAACCTGAGTAGGTTATATTTAACTGATACTTGTCTGATACTATTCACTATCCCTCCCCCCCCCCTCCTTCTACCTAACCCAACAGGAAACTTAAAGGACTACCCTAACTGCTGGGTTTTTGCTTTATCCAAACAAAATCCTTTTCAGGCCAGGCACTGGAAACTCGTGTCTGTAATTGTAGCTACTCAAAACTGCCATCTGAGGATCCCAGTTTGAAGCCAGCCCAGGCCAGAAGTGGAGCTGTGGCTGAAGTGGTAGAGTGCTAGCAAAAAAAGCTGATAGTGCCTAGACCCTGAGTTTAAGCCCCACTACTGACACATGCTCTCTCTCTCTCACACACACACACACACACACACAAACTTTACTCTTTTATATTCAGAGGCCTTTGGCCTTTTGTCTTGCCTCTCCCACCCAAACTGTCTCACTTCAAGCCCACCTGCTTTTCTGCTAGAAATAAGATTCTGAGTGTCTTAAAAAGTCATTTCCAGTCTAAAGTTCACTTAACTAAAATTACTCCTCACCACCAATAGAACTTACAGATGCCCAACCCAACTTTTCCTAGATATCTTTCATGCTTGCCACAGTGCAAGTAAATGTCTGCCCTGCAGCCATGTTAGGTATGTTAAATATTTTTGTCTTTCAAGAAATGTTCTTTTGTAGTTTGGTTAATTTTTTTACAAAGAAAATGGATTGTTCTATATACACTTCTGCACATAGCTTTTTTTTTTCCTTTTGGAGTTCCCACATAGGGACATACATTTGTTTCTAAATCAGTATTATTACACACAGAGGATTTAGCCACCTCAATGACCTCATTAAGTGATTTTGGCATATGATGCTGCAATGAACATTCTCTTATTTTGTTCTTGAAACTGCCAGTAGCAGTGACTTCAAAATACATTTTTGTGGTACTGGGGTTTGAATTCAGGGTGTTTAGCTCGCTAAGCAGATGCTCTCAGCCCTGTGACTTTATTACTGGTGTGTGTTTGTGTGTATGTACTAAGGCTTGAACTAGAACCCAGAACTCTCCTTAGCTCAGAGCTCTTCTTAGTGGTGATTTACTACTTGAACCACACATCTTCTTTCCACTTCTTACTTGTTAATTGGAGACAAGTCTCTCAGATTTCTCTACCTGGACTGGCTTCAAGTCGATAATCATAGCCTAGGCACTGGTGGTTCATGCCTGTAATCCTAGCTACTCAGGAGTTTGAGAACTGAGGATCATGGTTTGAAACCAGCCAGAGTAGCAAAGTCTATAAGACTCTTCACTACTCAGAAAAATCCAGAAGTGGCTCAAATGGTAGAGAACTAGCCTTAAGCACAAAGAGGCTCAGGGACAGTGCCCAGGCCAAGTTCAAGCCTCAAGACCAGCAAAATCAAAACAAAACAACAATCATATCTCAGCCTGCCCAGTAGCCATACGATTGCCAGCATTTTCTCCCACACCCAGTTGTGACTTCTAATTTTGATAGTCTCCCATGTTACATTCCTATCAAGTCAGTTTGAGAATTTAGCATGTCATTGAGGTAGGCTATAGGTCATAGGGGAAAAAAGAGGTAAACTGCAGAATGGCTAAAAGCAAATGCAACTGCTGAGCTGTATTTCATCAGCACTACTCCAAACTGGGACCAACAGGATTCTCCATGAGGACTACTGATTGTCCTTTTATTATAAATATGGCAGCTTCATCTCATTTACCTTGCAAGTTGCCTATTCCCTTATATGTGACTCCATAACATGGGGGGGGGAGGGGAAGATAAGGATAAAGAGGATGTAAGCCCTATTCCAGGAAAATCCTGATGTCCTTAGAATTCCCTACTTCCCTCCCCTAAACTGGTGTATACTGGTCCTAAGTTTTCCAGTAAATGAGCTATCCAAATCCCAGCAATTTGTGTCTCAAGAATCATGCACTGGCCAGGTGCTGGTGGCTCATGCCTGTAATCCTAGCTACTCAGAAGGCTGAGATCTGAGGATCATTGTTTAAAGCCAGCCCGGGAAGGAAAGTCTGTGAGACTCTTATCCCCACTTACCCACC